CCCCAAAACCCCAAAACCCCAAAACCCCAGACATGAACACTCATTTATAAATATTCACAAGAAATTTTAGAAGTTAATATTCAATTGGGCTTAAAAGCTAGTATAAACCTATGAGCCTAGAATAAGGCATAATTATCTCTTCTTACTTTTTTGACTCCATTTAAGCTTTCTACTAGTTCAGCATAGGGAGTTAAATTTGGTACAATTTCAATGGCATAGAGTTGTGGGAACTTCGAAAAAGTGGCTTAATCTATAGCAATCTAAGAATTTATTAATAGACTTGGCTTTGATTACAGCAATTACCTGAGGACAAAATTTGAAGAGTCTATTGTAAACTACATAAAGATTCTAGAGAATAAAATGACAACTGAAATATCCAAACTTTTTAATCATTCATAAAAGTTCCGTATATTTGGACGTCTTCGAAGTCATATCTACTGAATATTGTAGATATATGATACTCTTGAAATCCGTATCACCAGCCGAAGTCAACATTCTGAAGGGATTTCTTCAAGTCTGAATTGGCCAATCCTTGAATAAAATTTTCAAACTCTTCTGGGTGGCTACGCCAGTTACTGCTGTCAGAGTTATCACAATTCTCGATGCTTATTGTTGAGATACTGGACCCTTCTAGGCATCTTCTGAAGTCAGGCACTTTTGGGAAGGTAAACTTGCATGAATGAAACAGCACTCCCTCTTTGCGCTTGTTAGCCATGAACAGTTTCTCGAGTTGGCTCTCACTAATTTGAAAATTATTTAGCTTTATGGATTTCTTGACTCTGTGACAAGCTTTAATAATGGCGTTCAGATAGAAGCCTATATCCGTCATTCTAGCGCACTCGAGAGATAGCCAGGTAACCCTGCTTGTTGAGATCGAGTTCTCCAGGAAATATTTCACAGCTCTGTTGTGTGTAGGAATGCTGTAAATTGAAACTTCTTTTAATGGAGGAAAAGCGACTCCTTCCATTTTCTTCAGAAAACCTTGAAATATCAGAGATCCCATCTCAATGTCAAGCTGGCTTCGTGGGAAAACCTCTTTAATTCTATATGCCATATTTATTTTGGAATATGAATTGTACAGAATCTTCGAGCTAAATGATTCCAATTTCTGGCTAAGTAACATCATTGAAGAAGAATCAGGATGAGGAGAGTCATATTCGTCTTCATCGAATAAATTCTCAAAAGTTGCATTGTTAAAGCATTCTTGGGGCTGACTTTCTGATGGTGCTTGTCTATATAAAATTAAATATTTCTACAAAGAGCAAATCTAAGCATTAAGGTTCCTTAAAATAACGAATAAATATAAATTGGGCGTGTAAAAGAAATCTTCGTGATTTGGCATAGCGACCTGACTAACATAAACTAAGCAGTAAGATTTCAGATATTGAGATGAAAGAATTCAAAAACTACAGAGTTATTTGAAGAAACGTCCTTGTGGTTGGATTAGTACTAAAAATCTACATTAGAATTTAGACATGCTAATCTTGATTGAATTTGGAATTGAGGACTAATTCTCTAGACTATTTGCAAGCTTTTCATTCGATATAAAAGGATTACTACTAAATGCCTATTTAATATTCTAGTCCTTATATTTTAAGATCCATCTCCACTCAGACCGGAATGATAGTCACTTCGTAGGAATTAGGTTAGCTTTTGGAGCTCAAAGTTGTGGTTTCAAATATTAAAATACTGGGATCTCTGTTGGGAGAAATGATTGGGATGTGGCAAGTCCCGTTTAGGCTGACTAAGCTCTTAGATCTGGACTATCCGAATACATTCACTTGGATGTGTGACGGGAGTGAAAAATTTGAGAATATTTTCAATATTTGGTGTTTAATTTTCAAACATCTTGAGTCTTTATAACTCAAGTCATGAAATTTTACAAATAAAAGGATGACTAGAGCCATTTCAGCTCTCTAACACTCACTTTTTGTTGTGGTTCTCAAGATCTGCTGATGAATACATTTATTAATAATATTTAACACTCCTATTTTATTTTTCAATAACTATCCCCTTCTCTGGGGTTTTGGGGTTTTGGGGTTTTGGGG